CTTCTCAGCTGTCCTGATCTTTGTCTTGTTATGGTCTTTAACCCTTTCAGGGTTGGTGCCGTACTTGTACAGCTTGCACGCCAGGGTTGGTGCCATATTTGTATGCGTAAGTTCTAGCACCTTCAAATCTAGTGAAAGCTGGTAGGCCTACATATGAAAGAATGGGTCTATGTGGTCAGTGTGCACAGTATAAAAAAAATATCCTTCAGCACACAGTTCATAATGAGAAAAAAAAAAATCAAACCGTGCTCTGGTGGCCTGGTGGTTAACGCTCTCGCTTCACACGGTGAGGGCCTGGGTTCGATTCCCAGCCAGGGTAGAAACATTGGACATGTTTCTTTCCACCTGTTGTCTATGTTCCCCATCAGTAAAATGGGTACCTGGGTGTTAGTCGACTGGTGTGGGTCGCATCCTGGGACACTGACCTAAGGAGGCCTGGTCACAGACCGGGCCGCGGGGGCGTTGACCCCCGGAACTCTCTCCAGATAAACTCCAGATAAAACAGAGATTTTGCAGTGTATTTTCGTATGGTATTTATGGTTGTATTCTAGTTTTCCTGGTCTCATTTTATAGAATGGAAGACGTATTACAGAATTTGAGATAATTTTGACTGGTTTCACAATGAAAAGTACCTTGATAATGAGCTCAAAGTCGCAGAAATGTTCGATTTTTGCCAAAGTTCAAACGTAAACAAATCATGCCATGTGTCCATTACATGTCAACTGGTGAGTCTGATATTTTTTCACAAGTGCACTGATATTATTTATACCATTTCTACGCTAATGCAGTAGTCTGCATAACAGTAAATGTTCTATTTTTTGTGAGAATAAAAATTCAAAGTGGAAAGCAAAAGAAATGAAGAGGGGCCTGGGGACGTGACTAATGAACAGAGAAAATGTAATTTTAGTGCCAAGAATGTCTGTCTTGTTTATTCTGGATCCTATTTTGAAATAGGCATCTTTTGAAATTTGTGTGCAATTGGCAAAATTGCCAAACTTGGCAAAATTGCCAATTTCTGACCACTTTATTGGATAGTTGAAATTGGTAAATGGGTGGTTTCTTGTACTCATTCGATAGAAAACATGGAGCTCTAGCCAAATAGTTATGATTTTTGTCGACTGGTACATTGGAATTGGCCGAAAATATGGCTCAAAGTGGGCGAAATCGCCCATGTATAAACAATGTTGAGACCGCTAAATTCGTGAGAGCATAATTCTGTAAGTTTTCCATCAAATTTCATACTTTTGGTGTCATTATGATCGGAAAAAGATTCTCTATCATTTCACAAAAAAAAAAAAATTTTTTTTTCGAAAAACTTTCGACCCTGAGAACAAGTTTAGGAGAGGGCCTCTTGGCCCTGAAAGGGTTAAAAGAATGGTCAGTTGACATAATTATTCCCAGGTCTTTTATGTGTTCCTTACGTTCTATTTGGTGACCCTCTTGAGTTCTGTATATATTGTTCCTTTTGAGTTCTTTATTCTTTCCATACCTAAGCAGCTGGAACTTAGCACCACTGACCATCATGTTGTTCTCCATTGCCCACTGGAAAACCATGCTTATGTCTTCCTGTACTTTTTCAGTGTCCTCTCCTGTGATGACTTTCATGCTTATTTTAGTGTCATCTGCAAATGATGACATAAAAGTGTGCCGGGTGTTTTTGTCTGATATGAGGATGAGAAACAGCAGAGGTGCCAGGACAGTGTCTTGGGGCACTGAGCTTTTGACCTCGCTGATGCTAGATCTTGCCCTGTTCACTACTGCTTTTTGTGTTTTGTGTGTAAGGAACCCAAAAATCGATCTGCCTACCTTCCCCTTAATTCCCAAGGCCTTCATTTTGTGCACTATCACTCCATTCATTCCATGATCACATTTGTCAAATGCATTTGCAAAATCTGTGTAAATCACATCTGTATTTTGGTTGTCTTCCAATGCCTCCATAATTCTGTCATAATGGTTCAGCAGCTGTGACAGGCATGATCATCCTGCTCTAAAACCATACTGGTTCAGGTTATGCTGATTGTGCTGGTCCATGAAATTTGTAATCTGTCATCTCGTCACTCTTTCGAAGATTTTTATGATGTGAGAAGTTAGGGCTACTGGTCTGTAATTTTTAGCTAGTGCTCTTTCTCCAAAGAATGCCGAGTGCTTGTGCTAATGGTACTTTACACTTCTTTATGAACAAGGCATTCTATAAATCTGATCCAGGTGCTGAGTGGGTGGGCATGTTGCCCATTTCTTTTTTGAAATCTATGGGATTTGTACTAATGTCAGTTAGTTGGTCTGCATGGCCTTCTTTTGGAGTGAAAAATATTTCTGCATTTTCTACCTTGCTGTCATTTAGTGGGTTGAACACCGACTTGTACTGTTTTTTTAGGATTTCACTCATTTCCTATTCATCGTCAGCATATGAATCTCCTCTCAGTAGTGGTCCAATTCTACTGGTAGTTCTTAGCTTGGATTTTCTGTAGGAATAGAAGTATTTTGGGTTTCTTGCAATATCCTGTATGGCCCTTTGTTCTCTTTGTAATTCTTCTGTGAGGTATGACATCCTAAGTTTTTGCTTTAATTCAGTGATCTCTCAGCTAAGCCTATCTTTCCTGTGTTGTAGCATATCTGAGTTTTTAAGCAATTCAGTAACCTGTTTTCTTCTTCTGTACCATCTCCTATGATCTCTCTCTATATCTGATCTTCTGGGTTTCATCAATGGTACATGCTTCATACATAGCTTGTTATTATTTATTATCACACTGGCCGATTCCCACCAAGGCAGGGTGGCCCGAAAAAGAAAAACTTTCACCATCATTCACTCCATCACTGTCTTGCCAGAAGGGTGCTTTACACTACAGTTTTTAAACTGCAACATTAACACCCCTCCTTCAGAGTGCAGGCACTGTACTTCCCATCTCCAGGACTCAAGTCCGGCCTGCCGGTTTCCCTGAACCCCTTCATAAATGTTACTTTGCTCACACTCCAACAGCACGTCAAGTATTAAAAACCATTTGTCTCCATTCACTCCTATCAAACACGCTCACGCATGCCTGCTGGAAGTCCAAGCCCCTCACACACAAAACCTCCTTTACCCCCTCCCTCCAACCCTTCCTAGGCCGACCCCTACCCCGCCTTCCTTCCACTACAGACTGATACACTCTTGAAGTCATTCTGTTTCGCTCCATTCTCTCTACATGTCCGAACCACCTCAACAACCCTTCCTCAGCCCTCTGGACAACAGTTTTGGTAATCCCGCACCTCCTCCTAACTTCCAAACTACGAATTCTCTGCATTATATTCACACCACACATTGCCCTCAGACATGACATCTCCACTGCCTCCAGCCTTCTCCTCGCTGCAACATTCATCACCCACGCTTCACACCCATATAAGAGCGTTGGTAAAACTATACTCTCATACATTCCCCTCTTTGCCTCCAAGGACAAAGTTCTTTGTCTCCACAGACTCCTAAGTGCACCACTCACTCTTTTTCCCTCATCAATTCTATGATTCACCTCATCTTTCATAGACCCATCCGCTGACACGTCCACTCCCAAATATCTGAATACGTTCACCTCCTCCATACTCTCTCCCTCCAATCTGATATTCAATCTTTCATCACCTAATCTTTTTGTTATCCTCATAACCTTACTCTTTCCTGTATTCACCTTTAATTTTCGTCTTTTGCACACCCTACCAAATTCATCCACCAATCTCTGCAGCTTCTCTTCAGAATCTCCCAAGAGCACAGTGTCATCAGCAAAGAGCAGCTGTGACAACTCCCACTTTGTGTGTGATTCTTTATCTTTTAACTCCACGCCTCTTGCCAAGACATAGCTTGTATGCTTCACTATTCAGCTTCTCTAGGCACTGGTGGGGATTTAGGGTGCTCATGTCTGATTCCCAGGGTATGTCTGATAGCTCTTAGTTTATTTTTTTAAACTTAGTGAACATCCCATCTCTAACATTAGTGACACAGTTCCCTAACCCTGAGTTAAAACTCGTTTGAACTTCCATGATGTTGTGATCAGAGTATATTGTTTTTGTAACTGTTATGTTTCTTATTAGTTCCTCGTTGTTTGTGAATATCAAATCTAGGGTATTTTCATTTCTAGTGCAATCAATTACCTGTTGGTTTAATTGGTACTTTTCACAAAGCCTCATTAATTCCCTGGTATGTGCCTGTTGAGCCAGGGTGCTTCCCTGGCTTTCTGTATAGTAGTATGTCATTGATGTCAGCTAGGCCTGTATACCATGTACATGTACTTGTAGTAAATAAAGATATTATTATATTATCATCTGACTGAGCTGAGCTCATGGTGTAGTACTACGGACCAACACTAGCTTCACAGCCATAGTACAACAGGACCGACCTCGAAAGGGGTTAACAATGCCCAACAGAACTCAACCATCAACATTGTAATGTCTTATTGTGCATAATTTATCAATTACTCTATCAGGTATGTAAATGAAAAATGACATACATATAGGGTTTGCTACTATCCACAGTTTCGGGCAGCCATGGCAGGTCTTGGAATGGATCACCCGCGGAAATGAAGGGACAACTGTAACTAATTTTTGGTAACCTCCTTTGGAAAAATGTGGAAACTGTTGTAAATTTTCATTTTTGTGCACTGTATAAAGAAATAAACAATTTGGAAGTGATAAGTTTGATAAACTGACAGCAATGTAAGCATCTGACTGTGAAGAAATATCATTAAATAAATTCTGAAGAAGGAAGTAACGCCTTAAAGGTGGATTATGCAATAAGAAATTTGAGAGTAGAGAAATATGTCTTGCACACAACAATGTGTAGAACTATAATATCTATATGACTACACATAATTTTTGAAAGGATTATCCTAATGTTTAAAATGAACCTGAATTTATGACAAAAACAGAAAATTGTATGGGAATGAGTTTTCTCAATTGTAATAAATGAGCACTTCAAATCTAATAAAAGAATTACGATTATCTTAACAGTTAATTATGGTTTAAGATAAACTCCTTACATTCTCAAGACTTTTAAGTCTGGCTTGCCTCCAGGCAGCTCTCTTTTCTGCCTCAGCTCTTCGTTTGTCTGCGGGAGAGAGTTGCTCTTCTTCCTCCTCCTCCTTAACTTGTCCTTCCCTTGCCTGTGCTCTTCTTTCTGCCTTTGCCGTTCGAATTATTCCACTTTCACCATTGGATCTGTAACAGCGCAATCACAGCACAAGTTCAAAATATATACAGTACAAGGTAAAAATATAACATGAATTTAGAGAAGTATATGTGCAATAAGAATACTGCTTGTATATACAGTACAGTACAAATGATGTTATAAACCTTGGTAATAAATACCGACAAACTGGTTTAGAAAAACATGTAAGTAAACACTGACATATTTATTAGAAAACGTTTCGGTCCTGGGACCTTGATCACCTCTAACATACAGAGGTAGAAAGACATTATATAAAGGCAGAGAGTGTGAGTGACGCATGGTGACCTGAAGAATGCCATGTTGGGATGAGGATGGGTAGACGACGAGATCATGTGACTCCTGTCTTGTTGGGTTGGTGGTGCTTAGCTTGCTTGAGTATCATGTATGCTATTGTTTTAGAAATTTTGTGTGCCTGTAACAGAGACAATTTAAGGTACGCCTATGTCCTCCACAGAGACTCCACAGGGCATCTGATGAACTGGGATGAGGCACAACTCGTTCTCACCAAACCAGACCTCAGACGCCAACGGCTGCCTAGAAGCCTCACTAATCGCTGTCACCGACACAACAGAACATAACATTGGAAACCACAAAATTTCTAAAACATTAGCATACATGATACTCAAGCAGGCTAAGCACCACCAACCCAACAACACAGGAGTCACATGATCTCATCGTCTATCTGTCCTCATCCCAACATGGCATTCTTCAGGTCACCATGTGTCACTCACACCTCACTCTCTGCCTATATATAATGTCTTTCTACCTCTGTATGTTAGAAGTGATCAAGGTCCCAGGACCGAAACTTTTTCTAATAAATATATCATAGTGTTTGTTTACGTGTCTTTCTAAACCAGTACCAATGATACAATGATACAGGAAAAACCTTGATTTAATTATTTTCAGACAAAATCCATCAAATTCAGAACTGTATATATGTGTTATAGTCCAGTGGGTCAAATGATTTCCGATTTACGGAACTTAACTTCTTATTTTCAGAACTGCCACACTACCCATCTCCCACCAAGGTCAGATGGCTCCAAAAAATGCACATAATTATTACAAAATTAGAATGCGATTTTGTACATTTTGAAAAAATCCTGGTTGTGCAAAGCATTTTAAGCAGACTATAACCAGAACTTAAGCAGCTGCACAGTTGAAGTAAGATTATGAAAGTGCTAAATTTAATATAATTAGTTAAATTTAAAAAATTAGTTATTTTTCCTTCTGAAATGTTAGAGAATCTTTTTCTGAAGGTAATGATAACAAAAGTATAAAACTGGATAGAAAACTTTTGGAGTTACACATCAAAATTCTTACACCATTAACCAAAACTTAAAGGTATAATTTACCTTTTTGTTTCTTCTTTATCATTTGTTTCTCTTAGTCCTTCCTTAAGGTCATGGTCGTTGTACTTCCGGTGATCATATTCACTGTTCACACCAAACTGCTGTGCCAAGTCATCTGCCATTTCCTCAACATCATCTAAACGTGAAAGGTTGGCTAGCTCTTCTGCTGTCATGCCTGCTACTCGTCGATCTAATTGATTAGTATTTAAAAATAAATAAAGTAAGACATACCGTACACAGATTATCCTCTACCCATGCATATTAACCTCTTAACTGTCAGGGCCCAGAGCAACACATCTCTGCTAGCACTTCAAATTAAAAAAAAGTTTAATTTTCTAGGTGTTTTAATAAATATTTTTTCTATAATATTGACTGAGATAAAAAGGAAGTGAAGTTTGCACTGGACATCAACAGGGACAGCAACATGGAGTCCACCTTGCAGAAATCTTTCAGATAACGCCCTTTTTCTTGTTTTTAATTTACGTAGTTTTGTTCTAATATTTACAACTGAGAGTAGATCTTGTGATTTCATAGCCAATGGGTGTTTTGGCACAAATATTAGGTACGGAAATAGTAATGAAACAATCACACACACACACACACACACATATTGACAGGTGAACATGTCCGCCTGCCTTGTCTACAAATGTATACAAATTATTTATAATTCAAGGCAATATTTTTAGAGGTGTTCGAGTTTATTATTATTATTATAATAAAAAAAAGAAGTGCTAAACCTACTAGGGTTGTACAGGCTCAAGTTTATGAAACTCCTTGAAGCTCAGTGTCAGACAAAGTGGCACCCCACATTGCTGATGGTGCAATGCACCAGTGCCAAACCGCAAGGGTTATACAGCGCAGCTGGGGAGGGAAAGATGCAGGGAAAATGGGTGGCAAGAGGGAGAGGGATGATTATTAGGGTATGGAGTGCAGTAGGGCAGTGGATAGTGCAGGGGTAGAGGTTAGCTAGAGTGTCAGGTAGAAAGGACAGAGAGTGCTAGAGGCATCATCGTCAGTTTGTGTAGTAAATCGGTCGCTGTCAAAAAGTCAATGAGAGAGTCTGGATTAAAGGAGGGTCCATCAGCAAGAAGAGAAGGTAAAGAAAGGGCAGTGGAGTGCAGACAACGTTGGAGGTAAATTGTGTGTGCTCGTTGATAGAGTGGACAGTCCAACAGAATGTGGCTAACAAATACTGGAACTTGACAATACTCACAGAGAGGAACGTTGTTGCCAACAGGTGTGAAGGTGGGTAGCAATTTCAGTGAAACAGTCTGTGAATGGAACACCTCTATGTGAAACTGGGAGGTCATGTACTGTTGACTGCACAGCAGTGTCTGCCTGTTCATTGCCCTGTACATAACATGACCAGGGACCCAGCAAAACACAATATCTTTGTGTTTGCTAAAGATACAGCAAAGCCAAAAGTTGGATATGAAGAACTAGGGGGTGAGGTGTATCAAATTTTTTTATAGCCTGTAATGCACTAAGGGAGTTTGAAACAACCACAAATGGTGACACAGGCATAGATGCTATATGGATAAGTGCTACTAGAATGGCATACAATTCAGCCATAAAAATGCTAGCCGAGGATAAATGTCCTCGCACAACACCGTCCGGAAACACTGCTGTGAATCCAACACCGACAGAAGACTTAGAACCATCGGTGTACACTGTGATGGCATGAGAATGTGAGAGCGGAAGTGGTCAAGAAAAAGAGAGCGGGAAGCCACCGTAGGTAGTTGGACTTTCGCGCATGGCAATGGGAAAGAACAGACAAGAACAGCTGGAACTTCCCATGGGGGCAGGGAAAAGTGAGATGCTGCATGAACATAGAAAGGTGGTAAGTGAAGAGAAGGCAAGAGCGAATGGAGGCAGAGAGAAAAGGGGCAGAGTAAGCAGGGGCGACGAACAAATAAAGAATGTCTACTAACATCAGTGACCATCCTATATATGTAAGGATTGTGGAGGTCATGAGATCGAATATAACAGCAAAGGCAATGAGCATCACAGCAATCAAACAGGGTTGGAATATTTGCTTCTGCATAGAGGCTCTCAACAGGGGATGAATGAAAGGCACCAAGGCACAGACGGAGACCTTGGTGATCTAACTAAGACAGAGTTGCAGGAGAGGCTGCATAATATATTTGGTCACCATAATCCAGCTTGGACAAGATTAGGGTGGAATGCAAACGGAGGAGAGTGCGACGATCTGCTTCCCATGAATGATGCGCAAGAACTTTAAAGAGATTTAGCCGACCATGGCAAGTTGTCTATAAAGAAGAAATGTGTGGTCTCCATGTCAGCCGGCGATCAAAGAGCAGGTCCAGAAACTTGACCGTATCACATGCCGGAATACGTGAACTGTGTGAGTACAAGGGAGTATCCGGAATCAGAGGATGTCTAGTGAAGGTAACGAACCAGGTTTTCGTACTAGAAAATTTAAAGCTGTGAGAAGTGGTCCAATGGGAGACTCTATCACAACCTGAAGGGAGGTTGCTACTATTCGACAGTCAGCGCCCGGGTAAGCTAGAGCGAAGTCATCAACACAGTGACGACCAAATATACGAAGGAAGAACAGAAGGTAGGTCGTTTATAGCCAAGAGAAAAAGAGTAGTTGCCAACGAGGGCTACGAAACAGTCGGGCATACATAGAAGAAGTAAGAAGGATCTGAAAGTGATCACTATCGTGTAAATCTGGAAGAACAGACCATGCGAAATTAAGTGCAATGGGCAAGTAACAGGTAGAAAGATCAATGAAGGAGAGAGACCGAGTACGAGAGTCAAAACGGGTAGGAGCACCCATGTTTAAAACATGAAAAGGATGAAAAGCAAGAAGAGTCTCCAACTGATCACCACGAGTCGCAGTGGGACCCTCCTCACAGGTGATGGCGAGCGTTAAAATCACCCAACAACAATATGGGCGGTAGTAGAGATGAAATTAAAAATGCGATATCAGAGATACAAAATGCAAGGGAGGGAGACAGATAAAGAGAGCAATCTGTAAACCATCAGTGTAAATAAATATGAGCTGCAGTATAATGCAGCGGGGAACAAATAAAAACTTGTTGATATAGTATATCAACGCGTATAAGAAGCACGTTTTCATTAAAAGATTCGTCAGGTAAAGGATTGGAAGAATGTATCAGCAAGTAGCCCGAAACGAGGCGAATGACAGCAGAACAAATTTTGGGCTCTTGCAACCCAACGCATACTGGGGACAACTGGGAGAGCAACAATTGGAGTTCTCCTTGGTTGTCCCTAACGCCACAAATATTCCATTGTAAAAAAGACATTATGTACAAAAATAAAATGACAACAATAAGAAACGATAAAACCTTTTTAGGATCAGTAAAGTTACCGTGTGGGGGTAACAGTAAGCATGTAAGCAAGGAAGAATTAGAATATTGTGGAGGAATAGATTGTTGTATGGGTCGTGAAATAGAAGGGGTAGATGGAGGCTTGTTGGTTTCCATCAGGGGTGTTGTCTCCTCTGTATAGCTGGAGATAGCATCTAACGTTTCAGTTGATAAGGAAGCTGATGATGCCATGATGTCAGAGACAGGAGAGGCATTGCAAGTAAAGGTCGGAGTATCTATGGAGGCAACCAAAGAGGTCTGAGGAGGGTGGGGAGTATGAGCCTGGAGAGATGTGTTGGGTGGGGAAGAAGAGTTCTGCAGTGTAGCAGGAGAGGAAGGAGGTTGGAGGGCAACTATGGTAGAAGAGAGGAAGGGGGGGACCAGGGGAAGAGGGAACTACACTAGGGGGGGGGGGGAGTGAGCCTCCACCTTTGTGTGAGAGCTGGAAAGGGGGTGAGAACTAATCTCCGAGGTAGAAGATAGATTCTGTACAGGAGATGGACGCGAAGAAATTGTAAGTCTGCGAGGTCTAGTAGACTGAGAAGTGAGTGAGCGAGATGAAGAAGTAGAAAGTTGTGCAGAGGTAGGAGTGTCAAAAGATAAAACTGCAAAAGCATTAGAAACTGGGGTGACCCCAGGAGCCATGGACGCAGAGGGATTGGGAGGCGGGAGGATTGTCGAGGTTGGAGGTCTACGGGCTACTCGAGCATGTGGGACACGAGGAAGTTTTCATTGAAAGCGGAGCTGAGATACTGCCATAGCGTAAGTTCATTACGATAGACCTGACAATGGTGGGAAAAGGAAGGCTGAGGTTCCTTGCAACTGAGACAAGAGGGGGGGGGAAGACTACAAGATGTATTGGAATGATCCGCTGTACCACAGATTGGGCATTCCACTGCAGATCTGCAGTGTTCAGCGGGGTGCCCAAAATGCCAGCAGTTACGACACTGTTGGGGAGTGGGAACTACTTGATGGACCTCTAAATGATGGCCCGCAATACAGACAAGAGGACGGAGGTTCACATCAGTCGAAGGTTAAACGAGCATTGTTACTTAAGGTAGATACGTATATCCTGCCCACGAGCAGGCAGGATATACGTATCTACCTTAAGAATAGGGAAGTTTTGAAGGACTAATTGTTCCAAAATATCATCGCCGCAAGACAAAAAAATCACACTGTACAATGGTACGCGGTAAGACCAAAGTACCACTGCAAAAATTAAGAGTAGCATGCTTATGGACGGTGACTGGTATGTTATCAATGGAAGTGATGCGGGAGACAGCATGCGCTTGCTCTGAATTCTGTAGTTACGACATGTGCACCACTTCAAAGAGCGTGGAAAGATATATTTTGGCCAACGTGCCTTAAAAGTTTTACCAATTCCATGATTTGAGACTTCATTTGTAAAGAAATGAATTTTGTCCATTATGCACTCGTTAGCCCGGTATGCAAAGGTAGTGAGTGTCATGTAGGTCGTTTCTGAGTGAGCATCGACAAACTGTCATCAGTAGGTTGTCTTGGATGCTTAGGAGTAGTACCGCGGGTGGTCTGACCCGAGGGAGGCAGGCGATCCAAAAACCATCGCACCATATTCTGGGAAGCCAGATGCATTGTGAAAGGCGTACTAGAAGTAGCGGCAAGGACCGAAATGGGTGATGCCGCAGCACCCGAAGCAGGTGATGAAGTGTCACCGGCAGAAGGTACAGGGGTATGAGAAGAGTCGAGAGAATGGACCAATAACGAAGTCGGGTCAGAACAGGGTGTAGGATCAGAAAGGGATCTGGGAGGAGGAAGGGTTTCATTAGGTGAAGACTCCATAATAAAAGTGATTCTT